ATCTTTCTTTATTCATTTCACATTACTTTGCATGTGGTTCTTTCTCCTATGTTAGCCCCTAACATGGTTGTACCACCTGTGTTAGGCCTTAACATGATTGTTCCTCCTATGTTAGCCCCTAACATGGTTGTACAACCTGTGTTAGACCTTGGTTGTTCCTCCTGTGTTAGGCCTGAACATGGTTGTTCCTCCTGTGTTAGGCCTGAACATGATTGTTCCTCCTGTGTTAGGCCTGAACATGATTGTTCCAACTGTGTTAGACCTTAATGAGGTTGTTCCAACTGTGTTAGGCCTTAACATTGTTGCTCCTCCTGTGTTAGGCCTGAACATGATTGTTCCAAATGTGTTAGACCTTAATGAGGTTGTTCCAACTGTGTTAGACCTTAATGAGGTTGTTCCAACTGTGTTAGACCTTAATGAGGTTGTTCCAACTGTGTTAGACTTTAATGTGGTTGTTCCACCTGTGATAGCCCTTAACATGGTTGCTCCTCCTGTGTTAGCCCTTAACATTGTTGCTCCTCCTGTGTTAGGCCTTAATATGATTGTTCCACCTGTGTTAGGCCTTAATGAGGTTGTTCCAACTGTGTTAGACTTTAATGTGATTGTTCCACCTGTGTTAGCCCATAACATGGTTGCTCCTTCTGTGTTAGCTCTTAATGTGGTTGCTCCTCCTGTGTTAGATCTTAACGTGGTTGTCTGTACTTCACGTATGGAATACCCGAGTCGCTAGCCGAGATCCCATTTTCCAATATTTTGCATTATGTATATTTTTTCCCAAATTGAATTTTTGAAGTTTTGAATTGTTGTTTATGTTCAGGACAGAAAATAATTTTGTACATCAACTCCCAAAACTGTATTTACAGGGATAAACGTGTTTGGATTATGGGTAGGAATTGTTATAGTTCCTCATGACTTAAAGTAAACTGAGTGTGTGTGAATCATAGAATAAAGAAAACAACTGTTAACATTATATAATGAGAATGGAAATTTTAAAATGTAACAAAAAAATATAAAGTTACATATAAGATAGCAGGACACGGTAAGAGTTCAGAGCATGTGAGAAAGCGTAGAAGATGGATAGCCTCAAACACCCATTTCTAAGGATAGGTTTGGTATCAAACAAGTTTTTTTATGTGTAGATTTTGTACAAAGTAAATTTCAGTGATGAATCGATATTTCATTGCATTATGTTAGTGGTAAATGTCTTTTTTTCTCATAAAGGTGTGTTAAAGAAACTGATAGAAAAATGCAAAGATGGAGAAAATGTACTCAGTATATGTGAACATGGTGACAGTCTGTTGCTGGAAGAAACAGGGAAGGTCTTTAAGAAAGAGAAAGAGTTAAAAAAGGGTGAGTTTCATGTGTGAGAAAGAAAAATTTTCCTTTGGTTAAATTAATTTTTATCTATAAGAAACAACATGAACCTGTTTATTTCATCATAGAGTTTAGTTTCCTGTTCTTTTTTTTAAACAAAAACCCTTTAATGTACTGAATGCCAATTTTTAGTTTTTAGATTTTTGAGAAGGTTTGCATTCTGTCTGGAAAACAGTAGCCTAATATTTCATCTTAAAATATAATACACGGACACTTTATTTTCAGAAAAGGTAGGTACATTTCAAGAAGTAAGCATCAGTTGGATCAGATTTTATGCCACAAAAAACTCCTTTCCGAAATGAATTATATAAATTCTTGTTAAATTTTTTCTCCCTGCTTAGTCATTTTCTTTAAGAGTATGCAAGTGTTTAGTATTTAATACATACAGTCTGGTCTACATTTAATTTCTTAAAGTGAACTAAAGCTGTATAATACAGTGGAATGTATTTCTTATTTGAAACTACATTTATAAACATGGCTAAATTTCTGAAAACCACAGCCGTAAATTTCCAGAACTTCAACTGCTGTAACCTTCCATTTCATTCTTGTCCGTTTAAATGATGGATTATACAATATTATCATTTATTATACCCACTGTTTTAACAGAGACATGTTAGTACAGTATATTTAAGTACTTAAATTATTCCCGAGTGCCAAATAAAACTGATATTGAATTTGTCACCATTATGTTTTAGGGAAATCAGTAATCTGTTCTTTTTTTAAACCTTTTTCAAATCTCAGAATCCTAGTTTTTTAAACATACATTTTCAGTTCTTTGTGGTTTAAAAATATTGAAGATACAGAGTTTGAGTTGAAAACGCATTACAAAAAAAAGTCATCATGTAATGAAAGTGAGAAATTTTGCATTGAAAACTTGGAAAATTCCTCCGAAACAGTCCAAAAATTATGTTTTTATGTATTTTGTTGTTGTTTTTATAGTATGGTTTGTGCAAGTCCTTTAAATGGCTTGAAATTGTATTTTTTAAAGTCACAACTTTGAAAGGCATAATGCATAACTTTACTAATCAAGTATTAGAAAAAGTTCTTGAATTTTTTGTCTTAATAATGTTGTATATACATTTTGGTTATCTGTATTTTCAAAAATAAAAGGAAACAGTTAAGTATTGTTGGGCAAAATTAAATCTTTTATTGATTCTTACTGCTTACTGTTTTCATATGAAGTAGGTCAATTTGACCCACCTTGTAAGTGTGAAATTATAAATACTATAACTCTCAATTTACAGAGTGTATCTTCATGAAATTTGGCGTATTTTGGTATATTTTCTAATAAATTATTTTTATTAAAGATTTGTCTCTGAATTTACATAGCCTTTACTGAGTTAGTTTGAGAAAAGGTGGTCAAATTTCTTGTGTTCGTCTTATTCCGTTAAAACTATCCATCTTCTTAAAATATCATCAGTGTCAAATGAAAAGTTGAAAAATAGGAAATAAAATCAGTAATATATATTTTTTTTTTTAGAATGGCTATAGATTGTAACAAACTTCTAACCTTTTCATGTCCGATTTATTAACTTTATGAGTTTTTTACTGTACTTTTGGACCCTCTCTGTGGATGATAAGCAATGTATCACAGCAACACACCAGTTAGATATTTCAGGTAAACAAATGATCAGGTTACAGTCGTGCGCATGCTACAAGCTGACATTGTCTATCGACTAATATTGGGAAATTATAATTTTATTTAAATTTTGTTACCTTTCTAATTTGTTACATTTTATTTACTTAATAAAGATATATAGGCAAAAAAACTAAATTTAGCACTTTTGCTTTGAGTACAAGTTGAAACCCTTTTGGATGTGGATGCCATGGGGTCAGTAACCATTCTTTTTTCACACTGTATTGCTTGTTCAAAAAATAATTAATGTATATTCAAATATGCATTTTAGAACACAAAAGGTATGTCAGGCACTAGAATAGAATTTTCCAAAACTACTATAATTTATCTGTCTTTCTAAGTAAGTTATAAATAGGTTAAAAAAACTTATGCTTGGAGCAAATGTCTAAGGTCACCAAAACCAAATACTTCTGGTTTATGCAGGAAATCTAAACTACAGCTTACTAAGGTTTCTATAATGGATAAAATGCTCTCTATTGGTCAATTAGCCTTGAAATGACTTTTAGCAAAGAATATATAAAATAAATTTAAAAAATTGGAGGAGGCTTCTCTGGTGAGTTTGATAAAGTTATTGATATCTCGGTAAGAATACAGAAGGTTTAAATTTTATATTTATGTTTGTAATTATCTGTGTTTCTAATTGTTTGAAAATGGTAACAACTAGCCTGTTATTGAAGATATAATTTTTTTAAAAGCAGAATTTGGAGTGCAGACGTATCATGACAGTAAATGAATATTATGAATTTTCTTAAACATAAAAATATGAAAACTTTGATAATATAAAAAGTTACATTTTGATGCAAAGCTTACTAACATACATTGATAATAAAGTTGTTTATTTAAATTGTGGAGTTAACTGTGTTAAAGATTTTGAAATGTGACTTGCCCTGCCATACTGAAAGAGCTCGGGTGGCCATAATTGTGCTAATTGTGGGGTAAAATTGAGTATCATGGGAGAAATTGTTCTTATCCTTTGCAGGTAGTTTGCTGCCTGTGTTTCTAAATAAAATAAAAAGTGAATTTCTCAGAAAAAAGTTTGAAATATTTTACATTGAATAAAAATAATTATTTATCTAGACATTGTTTATCTAGTAGAGAAAGGGCTTTAGTTTTAATTGTACTGAAAATGAAATGGTTTACATACATGAATTTTAGGAATATAATGAAATAGTATTACGTGTTTCAGGTATTGCTTTTCCAACGTGTGTTTCGGTGAACAACTGTATCTGCCATTTTTCACCCCTCAAAAGTGATCCAGATGTCACACTAAAGGAAGGAGATGTAGTAAAGCTGTAAGCTAAAAAACTAGTTCTGTACTTCTAGCTGAGTAAACTTAATGTAGTAAAGCTGTAAGCTAAAAAACTAGTTCTGTACTTCTAGCTGAGTAAACTTA